TAAAACCTTAATAATAAAATAATTACAAGTGGTTCGCGTATAGTCAATACTATATTAAAGAAATATATGTATGTTGACTTACCTTCTATTGCAAAGGTGAATAGACTCATATGCACACCCTCTGCTGCTGCGTTGCTCTAAGATGTGGTGCAATTAGTCGGCAGAATCATTTCTACAATTGTTTTTTTAAATAATAGTATCTTTATTACTTTACGAAATAATAATGCATAATTATTAATTTAATTTTGATTTAAAATTTTAAACAAAAATTTTACAATTAATAAGGAAAATTATTCTGACACTTTTATCACAGTAAATGGTACGCCGCGGATTTCAATATGGCGGAACAGCTTTTGATGTAATTTAAATTGCACAATATTTTAATTTTTAAAGTATTACACCACTTAAATTTAATATTCAATAAATGTTATATTATTTTTATTATTATTAGAACAACAATGTTTAAAAATATTATTCAAATTTAACACAAAAAATTTTCGCAAGAATTTTTATTAACGTTAATCATTTCTCTTTGACAATTTTTCTCTTACTGGCTTCATACAAGTGCTTATCAATCAAGCTAAATGACTTTTTTCTCCTTTATAAGATCATTTGGTTAGCAAATGTTACCATTCACCACGCAGGCTTATGACAACCAAATTGGTTACAACTTCAAACTGCATAAACGTTTGAAACAATGTTGTTTATACTTAGAAAAAGCAATTTATAAAATATTTGTGTTAAAATTCTAAATAATTTTGGTATGACGAAACTTGCTGCAAATGTCTAAAGAAAAGTTTTAAAAACCCCTTACCCCTTGCCATTTATTTTAAATTGTATTAATGCGTGTTGCTTTGGTAGTTTTTTATATTGTGCTATACCCTATATGTAGTTGTTGTTGTACAATGAAGCACTATTGTTATTAATATTCAAAATGAGAGTGAAGAGAAATTAACGAAAAGAAACTGCAAGCAAAAATAATAACATATTATATTTGCTGCAAGCAAATTGTTTTGGATTTTTATTCTATCAAAGGAAGAACCTTAAATTTTAGCAGGTGAAATATTGTGTGGAGTAAAAAAATATTACACAGAAGATATTACTTACATTACAGCTAAAAGGTCTTAGCAATATTTCTTATGAAAAACTTACTCAACGATACTTTATTTATACTGCTGTAAAAAAACAATGTTATAATAAGTTAATTATTTCTGATTGGTTATCTGAATATAACGGGACTGGAATATAAAGGGAATATAAAGGGACTGTATTATATATTCCTCGTTCTGAAATGTGGTAGGCAATTCTCCAGCTAATAAAACAAATCATTAGTCTATGTTCAAATTTCTTATGATTAGCAAATTTGTTGTTGTGACATAAAAGGATTCACAAAATACGTAAATTAGAATATGGATTAGATTGAGGTAAATAGAAAGAAGTAGTGTTGCTTTGGATAGGATAGACATATGAGTGTCATTTTGTCGTTGATACCAAAGAATTAGTTTGACTGCAATAGCCCTTGAAGTCAGCACAGAACTTTTCGTACAGTTTATTTTTCTGTTTCCAAGTACTAATTCAGTATAACATAATAATAATAAGATATCCTGCAACACAATTTTAAATCCTGTGAAGGGATTAGTGCAACCTTCATCGCAAGCTCATCAACTGTTCCATTACCATTGAATTCCTCATGAGCGACTATGCCGACAGTTATTACTTTGGGTAAATTAGCTAAATTGATACAATGCATTGAAAAAAAATTTAAATTAGTTGTTAAGTTCTATAAAATCTAAGCATCCCTTTTTAGTTTATTTATTATAAATATATTTCTGTTTTTATTTTGTTACAACTGAATTTCAATTTATTCTGTTAACGAAGTCATAATACATATTTAAGTTGAAATATTTCTTTAAAAGCAATTGCAGCTATTATTTATCACTAATATTGTATAATAGATGGCAGTTAATTTCTATAAAAGTTTTTTTAAATAACTGTCACTTTAAAATATTTGAGTAAAATTTATTTGAAAAGGTGGAAGATTTTTAATATTACATCGCCACTTAAGTTATAGACGCACATGTTTGCATCTGCGAAAGACTGACAGCTACGACATTTTCGACATTTCAACACAGACAACAATAATGCATCAACGCAGTCATCATTCTTTCTTGCATTTTATAAATGTCCTTTTACTTTTATTACACTTCGTTTTGTTGTTGTTACTGCTGTTGTTGTTTCTACTGTTGTTGTTGTTATTGTTGTTTACTGAAACTTTATGTTTGCACTCATTCGCAGCGAAAAGCTCCCAATGACCACTTCCTGCTTTTTTTTATGGGTCAGGGAAACGCAATGCGGCATACAAATGTTTGTCTACAATGCTTACATATCTTTAAGCTTTGAGTGTGTGTGTATGTGTTTGTGTTTATAGTACGTCTGTAGTGGTGCTGTCCTTACATGAGCCTGCCATTGGTTGTTGGACTTGTGCATTTTTGCGTACAATGCAGGCGACCAACAACTGTTTTGTTAAATATTTGTGCTGTTGGCACTTTGGGATTGAAATTTATGCGACTTAAAATCGCACAAGTTAAATATTTACGATGCTTACGACAAGTTTCTATGAGGAAATACGTATATCGTATTATATCGTATTATTTTGTAGATTTACGTTATTTTCCCAACACCATTGCACTACATCTTGTGTGAGCATTAATAAGTTAATAATATAGCTTTAAGCAATAATTTCCAATGTGACGGATTACTTTAGATGGAAATAATTTGATTAACTTATACTTTTACACATTTGTATTTTTCTTTTTGTTTTTGATAATATATTAGTATTAACACTATACACTAACTGCTATATATTAGGTGCTTTCTTTTTTTTTGGAAATTGTGACCAGCTCTAGAACCTTTCACTAAATAATATTTTAGGCTTTGCCAAAGGCTTAAAAAAGGTTTCAAACCACTAAGTTCTTATATGGTAACAAAATAGGCCAATAGGCACTAGTGCGTCCTTAGGATGACTTTTATAACCTAGCCTAACCTAACCTAATTAATTGTTAGGATGACTTTTATAACCTAGTTTAACCTAACCTTATTAAACAGTATGAACCCAAAGCTGTTCCTCTATTATAAAAAACATTAAGACGTCATTATTCTCGCGCTCAATTTAACAGCAAGGCAGACAATTTCGTCCATTGATCGTTAATCCTGTCAGCTTTAAAAAGTAATCTTAATCATACTAATCCAAAGTTGCAATAATGGCACGGGCGTTCAGGCCAACGATATCAATATTTTCGGCATATGGAAAGACCACCATACTTTTGTGATGTATTGTACCAGTACAGCTTAAATCTACTGCATGAATTAGATTGAATGTTTCCAACATTAGATTAAAGAAATCACGTCATAATGAATCTTCCCAATTCTAACGGAAGTAGTGGTACTGCTCAATGTCATTTAACATAACCGTTCCGTTGGAATACCAAATTCAAGAAGAGTTCTTCTTATTGTTATGTTATAAATAACTCTAAAGTCGACAAATAAATGGTGTGTGTTATTTTATTTTTTTGGGTCTAGTCCAGAATTTGACGCACTATTAATCTCTGATTGATTAAAGATTTACCAGATCAAACGCCACACTGATAAAGTTCAATCAAATGGTTGACGATAAGCTTTATTTTTTAATATAATACGATTGACAGCAGCTTATATGCGATGTTAAAAAAAATCATCCATTATTCAAAGGCTGGTTCACTGTGACCCTATTAAGTTTCTATTTTATAGATTGTATTATCAAAATGGGCCTTAAGAATACCTAAGCGAGTCGATCTTTTTGTGAAACGTGCAATTACTTGCTAGTTAGTTGTGGTGGAGGGAGAACGAGTCCTCCTCAATTAGCTTAAAAGCCGTTTTGAACCCACAAAAACCTCGTAATAGTGGGTAGTAGAGACAAGGTCAAACTAGAACCAACCAGAGACAAGAATCTGATAAATGCTAATGCTAGAGATATCGCCTAGAGACTTAAATCTAGTTCTGGCCAGACATGGACAAAGACACATCATTTTTTCGAGTGTTGGTAGACACGCACTGCAAGAGGTACCACAGGGTAGGCCGAGTCTAGCTTAATGCCGTCCTATGGACCAGTGTCCTGTTAATTAACCTAGATATTAACAGATTAACAGAAATTAACCTAGATACCTCTAATTTGCTTCTGCGAAATTACGTGCTATAGAAAACCTGTTTTAAAGTGTTTAAACTTTTTTACGCCATGGTCATTTAGGTTATATACTTCTACTATAATTTTAAACTAAAATAAGTTGTTTGATTTTCTAGTATGTGGTAAAAGTCTTTCCTTTATTGGGCACTAAGTAATGACCATATATTTTTACTTTCCGTGTTGTTATATACATTTAATTGGAATTTGATTTATATTTAATAAACAAATTAAGTTATATATAATTTTCGCTAAGGGAATAAATGAGATATAAACAAGTATATTAACAATAATGTTCAGTTTAAATATATCTTATATTAACTGATATTTATACGAACCACAACAGGGCTTTGTTTATTGGTTAAGTAAAACATATTGTATGTACAATGTTTAACCTACATTCAAAGGATGACATTGTGGGTGCGTGAATTGCAAAACTTTTTGTCATTGTCCTGACTTATGCTCATGTTTTCACAAGAAACATATCCCGTGAGCAAAATTTTCGGTCGTTTTAATATTAAAAGGATGCAGTTATATATTCTTTTCTTCTATAATTTTTTTATTTGCCACTTATATTTACATACATTTTTATACTCTCATAGTGTTGACATTTTTGGTGCCACAAAGGAAATTTTTATGCATTGCCATTGTTTGGTTAAAATGTGCCCATTGTTCCAAGTTTTTTTTTTCCAAGTTTACAGACCAAAAATAAAATCACCCAAAAAAATTTATAAATACAATTTATTTACAACCATTTAAATAAAAATATTGAAATAAATTACAGGCTACCGCGTATTCCCATAAATAAAAACCAGAAACCATCACGACAAATGCCAGCGTTTGCATTTGCTTTTTTCATCTGCAGTGTCCGCGATCAGGAATTCTTTTCAATGGACCACCATAGGTATTTTGGTGAAATTAAAATTTTTTTATATTCGGTAGGCAATCTTATTTTGACTTTATTGTATTCATATATTAAATTATTTCGTTTTTATTTGTTTTATTTTGTTTAAGAATACGCTTTATGTTTGCAATGCATACATGGAAATCCTTACATCATCTGCAGTACAACAATCTGTTAAGAAATATGGGCCAATATAGAGGAACTCGCTTACAAATATTTAAAGCTTCAATTTAAAAGGAAGATAATAGTAAAAAACACACCTCTGCGGGTTATTCGGACGGTTTGGTATAAAGAACAATAAGTTGAGAGATTATATTCAATACGCAGTAGATATATCACACTTGACTGTTGTCAAAATAATTAATAAAAATTATTAAAAAAAAAGTTAATTAAATCAACTTGAACATCCTTTTGCATGCGAATAATTACCAGCGAGTTATATCTCAGAGAAGTCTTTATTTTGAATCGAATGATATAATATTGAAATACCCAAGGCTTAAGAGATAAAGGGTTAATGAAAATATGATGTCCTTCAAATAATCTCGTTATTACTTTTTATGTATTTATAAGATTTTATATTCAAATGTATAAAATATATATTTTATATGAATATATTTTATATAAAAAAGGTAAAATAGTACTTATTTATAATTTTATATTAGAATCTTAATAATTAAATTGTTTGGCTAAAAATTCATTTGTTTCGAATATTACCAAATACCTATTGTCACCAGTCCTTGGCGGTTAAAACACTTCACACAATAGACTGTTCAAACAAGAAAGTATTGATTTCGAAAACCCTTTGATAAATGGCATATGAGCAGCGCGTATAGCACGTATGATATTATCCCGAAGGTATCTGACCTAGGTATATGATCAGCTTCCTGTCAATCTCCAACCCACCACCCTATCATAGAACTTGGTATTCGTCATAATCCTACCGAATCTTCTTCTTTTTTATTTGCTAATTCGATTTCGAATATTAGTGATCATATAACATAAAAGTATATTGTTTAAATTAGCTTTCGACAAACAAAACTACAAACTTTTTATTATTTCTGCTTATTGCCCTCTGCATCTAGCTTAGCTTTATTTATGAGGCTGTCAACCTCTCGTATTTGGGTCCATTGATGTATATTTCGCAACCATGAAAATTGTTTCCTTACAATACTGCGTTTCTTTTCGATTTTTCCCTGAATATTTATTTGGTAGGTTGTTTTCCTTCTTTTTATAGTTGCTAACAATTCCCGAACATAGTTCATTCTTCGTAAAACTTCTTTATATGCAACATGATCCTTCCGTCGAATTTTGAGTATTCTCCTTTATATTCATAACTCAAATGTTTCGATCTTGTTAATATCAGCAACTTTCAAAGTCCAGCTTTCTATGCCCGATTTTCTGACAGTCATATGTACTATGCGGACTAAAACACCTCCTCTTTGGAGGGACTTATTCCACTCTCAGAACTGTTTTCGCATTACTTCGAGGTGGGTCTTTTTAATGTTGGCATTTCAAGTCATTCTCTTTTGATTTTCAATCTGCGTTCAGACCTCTTCTTTTGTACTGTATTTTCTTGATGTCTGCATTATTTATAACTCTAGTTACAGCTTCTCCTTTCTAGATCTAATTTTTTCACTTTGAGGATTTTAATCACATACGATTCTATCGTTCTTCTGCTTTCTGTGTTCACTCTCATGTTTTGCACTGTTTTTCCCGAAAAAAGCAATATACTTTTTATTGATAATAAATATGGAGTATATTTAATTCATTATGTCATTCTTAAAATATTTATCATCAATCATATTGAAGGGTCTTAAATATTTTTACTTCTAAGTCCAAAACTATGTCAACTTATAATATCAAATATTGAAAACAAAACATCACAACTCCCAAGAAAGCAAATTATAATGCTTTATTGACCTTAAATGTAGCAATTACACATTTTTTTCTCTATTGGCACTTAAACAAATAAAATTTTCTCTACTGAAAATTGTTTTACACGCAAGAGTCAAACAGAAAAAAAATAGAAAAATCGAAATAGAGGAATATTTTTCTGTATGTTAACTTGATTGGCATTTGCTGGCATAATGCTTCATCATCTGCTTTTTTTCTATTTACCCCTATAATCCTATCACAACAATACCTGCCACGTACATGCAACACGCTCTTCCGAAACCTTCTTCAACTTTCAAGTCCTAAAAAATTGAGCTCACACAAGCACAGACTAAAAAATAGACCAGAAAAAAAATAAAGATAAATCTCGACGCCAATAGCATCAAATGAAATCTAAGCGTATTTGAAGCTTATTGTCCGTTTTGGAAAAATTGTGAGGTGTATGCCAACTGTGAAAACAAGAGAAGCAAAATGCCCTTCCATTTCATTGAAATACAAAATCAAAAAACCTACAGCATCAAATGTCTCCCAAGTGTATCTACAAAAGCAAAATATTTTTGCTGCCAAACCACATGTCGGAAGTTTGGGTATGTAATCTAATCGCAGAAATTGATTATTGGTGAAACCGTCGTCTCTGAGGTGGATTCTGTTGAGTTCGGCGACATTTTAGCCGCAGTTGGCTTGGCGCGACTGATTTGAATTTTTAGTAGATTTCCGTTTTGTTCTACTAAAATTTTCCCTCATCGGAGTTTTTAGTTTTGTAATTGGGAACTGTGAAAAAAGTATGAAAAAGTATTCAGAGACCAGTAAAAAAAATAGAGCTCTCAGAAAACAAAGCAAATATCACAAGCGCGTTTACACTTGCAAAAATTGTTTGAAATGTGTGTCACAAAGAAGTTAAATGGTAACGAACGGAAATACCGAAGGGTGTAAACTATGTTAAAATTTAAATTTAAATTTTCTCTCTTCAATATTAAATATGAAACCTCAGAAATACTTTAGTGCAATAAATTTTTTTTCTTTACATATAGAATATTTATTTTCAATTTAGTTAAACTTTAAAATAATAGGATGAGAGTACTTTCAGTGATATTTGTACTGCTCTTTAATTTTAGGCATAGACATATTCTTGTCAACTACTATTTTCCAAAAATGGGACTGAAGGTAGTTTCCAAAAATGGGACTGATATATTCAGTTTCTATAAAAGTAGAGTGAAAATTCCATATCTTATTTTCACGTGCCCTATAATTGCTAGAAAATAAGTCCAGTAGGTTTAAACCTACTTAAACCTTTAAACCTTTACGTAAACCTTTAAACCTTAAGAGACTCTTTCCAAGAATACCACAATAAATCTTATAAATCATAGCGTTCTACTGTCCTTTGAAATAATAATAATTATTCTGGATATCTATAAGTCTATCCCGTATTACAAGATATGCTGAACAGAAAAACCATCCGATTTGTCACAAGGTTTCTTACCGGATATTGCGGAGTCAAAAAACATCTATCAAATCTAGGTATTACAAAGGACGATAGCTACAGATTGTGACAAACAGCACAACGCATTCTTTTTCACTGTGATAGACTTACCAGACTCAAAGTTCGGTACTTATCAACTGCCTATCCACTTATAACGAAATTAGGCAAGATCCCTCTAAAGGACATAATGGAATTTTTACCTTGCCATTATGTCCTTTAAATTTTAACCCTCAAAGGATGAAGTAATGTGGTGACGTAGTTTCTAACCCTTTCAAAATTTAATTTAATCTAACCTGAGAAGCTTTGCGATATTTTCTGAACCTGAACTGATGTTGAGGTATCTTCGCCAAATCATTTAACATTGACATTATTCTCCTCAAGGAATCTGTTCAAGTATAGTTTTATTAATTTCTTCGTTTTAATATGACGTTATCATTTTAGTGACATATACATTACATACATTAACAGAAGTGTAATCTAAGGCATCTTTAATCGTTTAGCAACCGCTGTAGTCATCAGAATTCACAGTTTGAATAAAACCCTTCAGACCCAATGCCAAATGTGATACAGTTATTAGTGACGCGTTGTAGATACAATCGTCTTTCGACAGTTACAACGTAAATTTTCGGAACAGTGAAAATCCTGACACAAAACTTGTGTTTGTTATTAAATCCACCAGACAAAAAAATGATTTTTCATCATTGAAGTAAATTCGTTACTATACTTGTCAGTGAACTTAGGCTGGTGGGGCACCTGCCCTAAAAGCGCAGTCTTTTGAGTATTTGAAATATTTCAAAATTTTTTGAGTTCTAAGTTGTAACATAGTGAGGTTATAAGTGAACTCTTCATATCACCATCACAACCTAATTGAAACTTGTCTGTGTAGAATGTTATGGAAGTGATGATAAATATAAAAATATATAAATGTACCTTTTTTATTATTAAATAAATGATTTAACAAGGACAACATATGGAGACATTTATGGTTAGTATAGCTCGTTCCCTCTTGTCAACTTCAGAAGCAACACAATGAACAAGAGTTATCTCCAAGTGTAAGTCTGAAGTTTGCCCCAACACGCGCTTTTAAAACATAACCTAACTTATATATTAAATATGTTAAAGCCAATCCATTTCGTCCCAATGAGTTCTTAATATTTTTCAGTTCACTAATTTTTATCTCTTTTTTGGGCCAATATATATTGGCTTCCATATTTAATTTTTTTTTTTTTGATTTCTTCTTCCCCCTTTAACTTAAGCTTACTAAAAGCAAACCTATAAAAGTCCTTAGTTAATTAATTTATTAATAAAAAAAATCATAAATAAACTGAAGCATATAAGCTGACAGCAACTGAATTATTGGAGTTCCCAGAAAATACAAATTAAAAAGGAATTTGCAACAAAAAGGTTGCTGTTATATGCAAAATCATCGTTACACTCTGAATTGTTGCGAATGAAGCGAATAGATTAACAACATAAACAAAATCCTTTTTAATTTCGTTGAAATATGCTTATCCTTTTGGTTCAATCATTTTTCGTATTTACATTGCGTGATATTTAGAAAAATATTGGCATTAAAGAGTACCTAGAGAGGAAGAAAAATATTTGTTAATAAATTTACTTAAAATATTTACTAACTAAACAAACACAAAAAAAGTTTTGATTAACTTAAGTAAATTACTTAAGCTATGACGTCACACAATTAATATTCGCTATTCCCATATAAAGTTTTTTATTTTTTATCAGTAGGATATGTCACTTGTGAGATATAAATAAAATATACGTATATTCTCTTCTATATTTTGACATATCATTATAAAATTTTCTTTTAAGTAATTCGTCTATATTAAGTTAAGAAGTTGTTAGTCTTCACAAAATGAAGTTTCTTCTTCTACCATATTCGGTAAGAAAGAAGAAAGAAATCGTTATGGTATGGTATGAGATACAAATCGCACAAAAATTATATCATAAATTCGGTAATTTTTAGAACTTTTCTATGCGTTCACAATTACACGTTTAATCAAAATTTTTTGCACGTATATCAAGTTACCGCAATCAATTTCTTTTTGAAAAATATCCTGAATCTAGTATAGCACTGACGTAGCGGTACTTCATCAGCGTCTAGTGTATGGAGTGTGGAGTGTGGAGTGTG